GGGCTGGGATGTAGCTCAGTGGCAAAGCGCTTGCCTAGCAAGAGCAACGTCCTGGGTCCGATCCCCAGTACCAAAAAAGAAAAGACAAAAAAAAAATACAGTTAAAAAAAAAACCCAAACAAAAAAAAAAAAAATCAAAAAAAGAGGACACACACCAGCCGGTTGCTTTGCTTGCACCTGTGATCCTTAGCTACTCAGAAAGCTGACATGTAAGGATCAGGTTCAAAGTCAGACCTGATCTCCAATTAATCAGCAAAAAGCCAAAAGTGGAGGTGGGTCAAGTGATAGAGCACTAGCCTTGAATTAAAAAACCAAGTAGGAGTGTGTGGCCTTGAGTTCAAGTCCCAGTACTGGCATAAACACACACGCACACACACACACGCACATGCACGCACGCACATGCACGCACGCACACATGTATGCACACACATGCACACACACACACGCACACACGCGCACGCACAAACACACACATGCATGCACACGCACGCACGCACATGCACGCATGCACACACGCACATGCATGCACACACAAGCACACACACGCGCGCGCACACACACGTACACACACATGCATGCACACACGCACACACGCATGCACACACAATCACACACGCATGCACACACACGCACGCACACACATGCATGCACACATGCATGCACACGCATGCACACACGCGCACACACACACACATGCACACGCGCACGCACACACACACACACACACACACACAGTGATCTGAGAAGGTAGGTAGACTTTTTCTTTCCCAACAACATCTTGTGTGGAGTTATTTTTCTTCCTATACGTCAACTGAGACAGCATGTTACAACAGATGGAAACTACGGGAAATCAAGCCATCTTCTATTAAGAAGCACTGAAGAAATTTGCCAACGTGTAAAATAATGCTGTTTTCTCACTCATCTGCTTTTTATTCTGGAAAAAGACTTCCACATTTTGAAAACAATACTGATTTTAACATGACTGTTTCCAATATATAGCCTATAGATACTCAATATACTACTTAATATAATGAATATACTTTGTCTATGGTATGGATAAATACATAGTATATATAAATATGTAATAATATAAGTAATATACTTAATATAAGGAGTAATCAAAAAAGGTCAAGACAAAACACGGGTTTAAATCATGAATCGTATGTCTCCATCTACACTCGAGGTAGTTAACACTGAGGGGCGATGAGTAAAGTGTGGAAAACTCCATTCACGTGCATCTACTTTGAGTCCATGTTTGTAAGCTCATCCAGAGAATGGAAATGACAAACTGCTTCTCACAATGGTCCTAACCCCAACTGGAGACGGTTCCTTACACAAACAACTACTGAGCGCCACAGGGCCCGGTGCTGGTCCAGGTCCTGGGGATCGCATGGTGAACGGAACCTAAGTTTGTCCTCAAAAGCCAGGTGGAGGCAGGGGCAGCTCTGGGCAGCACAAACTCTTCAGTATCTTGAACAAAGCATTTGCACGAGTCAGGCGCCAGCGGCTCCCGCCTGTCATCCTGGCTGCTCAGGAGGCTGAGATCTGAGGATCAGGGTTTGAGGCCAGCCTGCACAGAAACGCCTGTGACACTCTTCTCTCAAGTCAGCCAGCAGAAAGCTGAACGTGGCGCTGTGGCTCAGGTGGTAGAGCGCCAGCCTTGAGCAAAAGAGCTCAGGGACAGCGCCCAGGCCCTGAGTTCAAGTCCCAGGACTGGCACAAAAACAAAGCCGTACAACTCAAAACTGATAATGATAATACTGATAATGACACATTTCAAATGATCTTACTATGTCCTTTTCCGCACGCTAGCCTTACCAACGCAAACTGGTTGACGTGGATGAAGAGGGTCTCCACGTCGCTGTCCGTGACCTCGGTGCCGAAGCCCTTGAACTCCTGGTAGGCCTCCAGGTAGGCCCGCAGCCACTGTCTCTGCAGCTCTTCATCTGGGTAGAGACTATAGTCTACATCACTCACACCTGCAGGAAGACACACGCACGCGCCACACTGAAGTCACACTCTTCAACGTACCTGGAACGTCGTCACACTAGCTGTTCATGGATTTTTTTTGTTGTTGTTGTTGATCATGGGGCTTGAACTCAGGGCCTGGGCGCTGTCCCTCAGCTCTTCACTCAAGGCTGGTGCTCTACCACTTTGAGCCACAGCTCCACTTCCGGTTTTCTGGTGGCTCCTTGGAGATAAAGAGTCTCACGGACTTTCCTGCCTGGGTCTGGCTTTGAACGGCGATCCTCAGATCTCAGCCTCCTGAGCAGCTGGGATGACAGGCGGGAGCCACCGGCACCAGGCCCACTTTCTGCTTTGCTTGGCGGCTCACCCCTGTCATCCCGGCTACTCAGGAGGATGAGAGCTAAGGACTGTGGTTAGAAGCCAGCCTCGGCAGGAACGTCTGTAGGACTCTTATCTCCATCAACCACCAAAAAACTGGAAGTGGAGCTGTGGCTTGATTGGTAGAGTGCTCATCTTACAGAAAAAAAGCTAAGGGACAGTGTCCAGGCTATGAGTTCAGACCCTAGGACCAACACACACACTCACAAAATAGATACTGGAGCTGGGCACTGGTGGCTCATACCTGTCATCCCAGCTACTCAAGAGGATCACAGTTCCAAGCCAGCCCAGACAGGAAAGTCTGTGAGACTCTGATCTCCAATGGATCACCAGGAAACAGGAAGTGGGGCTGTGGCTTAGGTGGTAGAGCGCTAGCCTTGAGCAAAAGAAGCTCAGGGACAGCGCCCAGGCCCTGAGTTCAAGTCCCACAACTGGCCAAAATATCTATATCTATCTATCTATATATATATATGTATATGTATATATGTGTGTATACACATATAAAAATACATATACATACATACAAATATACATATACATAAATACATATACAGATCTACATATTCGACAGCTCAATATTTGAGCACAAGCAAGGCTTTGTTGTGTGTTTTACTGTTGTGCAGGGCGTGGAACCCAAGACCTTACACGCACCAGGCAGGCATTCAACCTCCAGTACACACTCGGCCCCAGCAGTCTGTTGTAAGAGAAAACACTGGGTGGGAATCTTAGCTCTCTGTATTTGACCAGGCCATGTCATTTCCTGGGTCTGTACACTCCACTGTTGAGTTAGTAATAATAGAAGAAGAAGAATAAAGCGACGTCATCACTTCTTTTCCTATTACTGATGGCTTTTCCTCCAGTAAATAATTAACAATGAAGAGACGTGGTCAGTAAGAAGTAGAAAAACATTGCTCCTTCTGCCCCAAGCTCACTTCTTATAAAACTACCAATAATAAACACAAATTAAATAGGGTACAAATTCCAAATGGGTGACTGGGCTGGGCGTGTGGCTCAGTGGTAGAGCGCTCGCCTGGCATGCACGAAACCCTGGGTTCCTCAGGACCACATACACAGAAAAAGCCAGAAGTGGCGCTGTGGCTCAAGTGGTAGAGCGCCAGCCTTGAGCAAAAGCAGCTCAGGGCCAGCGCCCAGGCCCTGAGTTCAAGCCTAGGATTGGCAACAAAAATAAAACGAATGCATGACTTTGTTAGGCCAGCCTTGGGTTTTACCTGCGAACTCATTGAAGTGATTTCCAATATCATATGCCAAGTAGTTGTATCCAGAATATTCATAATCAATGAACTGTACATCACCTATGTGAGACACAAAAACAAAGGCAGTAAGAAGTCCCGCCAGCGGCGAACGAGCCCCTACGCTATCTGTAATTAAAATAGCTTCCCATAGTTTGTCTCATGCTGTGTGCCTGTTTTATGTGCACTTGTGAGACAGGACAAGGTAAGGCTGTGAATTTTATGGCAATGAGCTTTACAAAATTCCAATTATGTCTTCATCAACAGCGTCTCGTGAACACTAATGTCCACTCTATTAAATAGAGAGGAAAACGGAGTCATCCTCCAACAGCGGGGGGGCGGGGGGGGGGCAACAGTCATTTTAAAAAATGCCAGCTTTCATTCAAAACTAACTCCTATCTTTTGGCATCGCCAATCACCTAACCACCTCTGCTATCCTAAGATCTGAAATCAAACATCAGCTTGAACAGAATGCTGTGCGGATGCTGCTTTTCGAGCGGCCCGTGAAGCTAAGAAGCGCTGTGTGCGCTCTGAGCTGGAGCCCCGCTTCACACACCAGCAGCGCGTCAGCAGACCCGCAGTGCTGCCGCACAGGGAGGGGCCAGTTCATCCTCGCAAAAGATGAAGCAAAAAGGAGACATCTTTACAGAAGCTAAAAGGCCCTAGTCTTCATTTTTGCAACAGACTTATTGTATATACTTTAAACTCTTTCAATAAGATACAGGCTCCATGTAAACAACAGAAAAGGGAGCAAAAATTTTAAAAAAAAATTGAAAACAATACTGCTGTAAGTCACTGTCTGGGCCAGGGTGAGCTGGAAGGGACACGGGGCCAAGGACGCGCTGTGTAACAGCTGTGCAGTCACTGCTGTGTAACAAAACATCCCCGGACTACACACGCGCGCAGTGCCCAAAAAACTGCTTTTGCACTTGAGCATCTTGATGCACGTTTGTAGAGTTCATTCAGGAAGTTATGTGGGATCCTATTCGAATACAGAGAAAAACTATTATATCACATATACACACACACAAAAAGAAGTTATGCCAAGTGTAGGATTTTACATACAAGCAAAGTGTTTTAAAGTAGTAGTGTATTTAATTCTAAATGTGTAAATAACCGTGAAGGACCAGGGATACAACTCAGTAGTAAAAACACTTGCCTACATGTGACCCCAACAATTGAAAAAAAAGAGCCGGGCACTGGTGGCTCCCGCCTGTCATCCTACCTACTCAGGAGGCTGAGATCTGAGGATCATGGTTCAAAGCCAGCCCGGGCAGGAAAGTCTGTGAAACTCTAATCTCCAGTAAACCACCAGAAAACTGGAAGAGGCGCTATGGCTCAAGTGGTTAGAGCACCAGCCTTGAACTGAAGAGCTGAGGGTCAGTGCCCAGGCCCAGAGTTTAAGCTCCACGACCAGCAAAAAAAATTAAAAAAAAAAGGCAAGAAACAAACTAAAACAAAACGTCAAGCTGGTTTATGACTGGTGACAGACAAGTGACTTTTTTCCTCTTTTCTTCTTTACAATAAATACTATTGGTGGAGGAAAACACTCAAAATCTTTATACAAAAACAATCCACTGGATAGGAGAGCTGAAGTACCGTGATTCGCAGGACACCTAGCCATCAGCCTTCAATAGAAAAAGAGAAAAAGGCCAGGTGGGAGAGTTACCAAGACTGAGCCCACCACCCCTGAGCCCACCAAAGCATGTGATTCTTTACACGACAGCTGTTGATTGCTTTGGCTCTTTCAAGGCCAGTTCTTGTAGAGCTCATGTCAACTCGTTACATGCCAATAAAAGAACACAGCCCAGTCCTCAACCATCCAAATACGTTGGCCACTTCAGATATAAAGCTTCCATTTTCCAGACTGAGAATTTTAGCCTTGGGCCAAATAGAGTTAAGTAAGACAGTAGGCTAAAATAAAAAAAAAAAAAATGACAGGCCTGTTTCTTCACCCCGTTTACTGAATAAAACAGAGATCACTTTTTTTGTGTGTTTAAACAAGCTTTAAAAAAAAATCCTTTTTCTGTCTGATCATGTTTAACGGTGACTTTAAGAGTAGCATTCATTAATCCATGACAGCTAGCCTTTTTTTTTTTAACTCTTAAATGCTAGGTTGAGTTTACGAATAATGAAAGGTTTACACAAGAAGAAAAAGAGCTGAGAAGATACAGAGGAGGCTGTTACCGGTCTCCGTGCAAGTCAAGTGGTGCGGTAACAGTCCATCAGTGCGCAAGAGGCGCGGGCACCGCCAACATGGCGGAGACAGGGCAGACCTAATCTGCAGCAGATGAAGAGAATTTGGCAAACTCACAGTTTACAACACACACAAGCTGAACAGGAAAGAAAAATGGTTGTTTTTAAAAAAAAAATCTGCATCAACTATTCTTTTTTTTTCTTCTTTCACTTCAAACCACTACAAACGAAGTGGAACTCAGCCTTAAATTTAAGATTCTGCAGCGGAGTTCAAACGTTTCAAGAGGCGTTCGTGGAGGGCGCCAGGCGGGGGGAAAAAAAATCAAATTACAGAATATTTTTTTCCTCTCAACACATCCTTGTTAATTTTAGCTTCTGGCTTCTAAAAATTTCCCGTGAAATAGAGGTCATGCTTAGAACTCAATGAAAAACACAACTGATCTCAACTGTGCGAATTCCAGTGTCTAGAGATGAGAAAAGATTTTACACAATTTTAGGGACAGGGGCGTCTTCAAAGGAGCAGGCTCAGCTTCCTAGCTTCCAGGGAGATCCGCTTGGGAAGATGGAGGGGACACACACAGTGGGTGACAGCCGGGGACAAATCCGTGACTTGGATTTTCAACGCTGGGTGTTTTTCTGCAGATTCTGCAAATGTAGGCTGTAAAAACCATCCACAGTGAAACTGTTTACATCTCCATAGACAAATGGTGTTCCCCTGGTAAGAGTGCTTGTAAAGCACACTTAAAAAAAAGAATTACCATGTATGGCTACCGCTTCCGGGTGGATCCCTTTCTTTGGGTTAAAGGGGAAAGGGTAGGGGAAGAAAAACTCGGCCCTTCTCCTCCCGAACGCTGAGCTGCTTTTGCGTGACACTGAGGCTTTCTGCTAACTCATGGTCCAGGAGAGAGGAGCACTGGATTACTCTTCATAAAAATCTAATGGCTAGTTTGAGTCACAGGTATAAACATTTGTCAAAGATCTATTCAGTGGCGTGCTCAAGCTCAAGCTCTTTGGGTTTGTGTGAAAGGAAACAGATCTCACTATGCTGCCTGGGCTGGCCTTGAACTCCTGGCCTGAAGCCATCCTTCTGCCTCAGTCTCCCCGTGAGCCGGGACTAAAGATGCTCTTTCCCATGCCCAGCTCTGTGCGCCTGCTCACATTTATAGATCATATTATGGTGAAATCCTGAATGTTAGGTGGTGTGCTTCAGCGGGAAGATCACGGATGTCTACGACTCACTTTGAAATAAGTACTTTAAAAGATGAATGGGTGGATGGACAGAATGATAACGTGACAAAGCCCAAACTTTTCAACAATTCTAGACCCCCACGCGGGCAGATACGTAAGCGAGGCCTACAAATCGGTTCACTTTCCTAGAGTCGGGGGGCGGGGGGCGGCAAATCTACTGCAATGTCTGAGAGACTGGGTCTGTGTATTCCTCTGTGAGAAACACGAATATGTGTCTCTGGGCTTGTGAAGGCTGCATGCATTAGGTACACACACTTCTGTCCTGCTGGGGGCCGGGACTGTAGGTGGAGGTACAACCCCCAGCTCACACTGGAAACACACACTTTGGATTGTGTACACAGCACTTCTAGTTGGACAGCAAGAAGTGCAGTTTTGCATGTATGCAATGATTTCTCAGATAAGGACAGTTTTCTTGAAGAAGCTGTACTGTTCACAAACCCCCTAGTATGACTCAGGTATGACTAAATTATAAAAATCCATGGGGAACAAAAGTCTCCTAAGTTATTAAAGCAATAATACTTTCATTAAAAAAAAAAAACATAAACAGAGCCAGGCACTAGTGGCTCCCCCCTGTCACCCCAGCTACTCAGGAGGCTGAGATCTGAGGACCGTGGCTCAGAGCCAGCCCGGGCAGGAAAGTCCAGGAGACTCTTACTTCCAATGAACCACCAGAAGGCTGAAAGTGGAGCTGTGGCTCCAAGTGGTAGAGTGCTAGCCTTCGGCAAAAGAGCTTAGGCACAACGCCCAGGATCTTGAGACACAGACACAGACAGACAGGCAGGCAGACAGACACACACACACACACGTACATGGCAGTGACCTCAAAATGGTCCTGTGAAAACTTATGAAGGTGGCACGTGTGACAAATGAAAAGTCTGATGTTTACTGAGAATAAATGCTGAGAGACATTATAGATCTGACGATAATGTCAAGGCCAGAGCCTTATCTAAATGGGTCTCCCAAGGTGGGTGAGAGCTCATCACGTGAACACCTTGGGAAGGACACAGCTCAATCATCTTAGCCTCTTGCTAAGACAGGATGCTGTGACAGGATGAAGGTGAACAGCACGGCGATCCGGCCTGAGACAGCTCCCATCCACAGGGTAAAGCCGAGGCTCCACTTGTGCAGGTTTTGGTGCAGCCAATTTACTAAAGGTAAAGCACACGAGGGCTGGGGAAAGTGGCTCAGTGGTAGAGCGCTCGCCTCGCGTGCAGGAGGCCCTGGGTTCCATTCCTCAGTCCCACAGACACAGAAAAAGCCAGAAGTGGTGCTGTGGCTCAAGCGGCAGAGTGTTAGCCTTGACAGTGCCCAGGCCCTGAGTTCAAGCCCCAGGGCTGGCAAGAAAAAAAAAAAAAAGGCATAAAGCCTCAAGGAAGTGATATGGTTTTATTCTATCAGCTCCTAATTCACAGCTTGTCCCCAAACAGAAGCAGCCTCTCCCCAGACTTTCTTGAGTTATCTGAACTTTCTAGCCATATTTCTCTGAATGCCACATCCAAACAATATGAGGAACTGGTTCATTTTTCAACTGAATGCCACAAGGTACAAATGAGCCTACCTAACCGACAAGAGAAGACTGTTCCGGTAAGCTGATAAACCTCCTTTCATAACCAGGACACAAACAAAACCACAGAGAAAGAAAGGAAAACAGACACAAATGGTACAAAAAGGGTTTTGATTGGAAAATGGGAGAGCTGGTATCTGTGCTCACACCTGTAATCCTAGCTACCATTCAGGAAGCTGAGATCCAGAAGACAGTGTTTCAAAGCCAGCCTGGGGTTAAAAAAAAAAAAAAAAAGTCTAGAGACTTCATTTCCAATGATCCAGCAAAAAGCTGGGCTAGAGATGTGGTTCAAATAGTAGAGCACTAACTGTAAGTTAGAGAGCTTGAGACATCGGGTGAAAGCCCTGAAATGGGGGGAGAGGGGGATTCTTTGAATGTATATTTAAAGAGTTGCATTTGTGGAGCTATAAAATGTATTTATTCTGGATAGGGTGAAAAATCAAGACAGAAAAGATGAATTCAAGCCGTACCTCTTATGCCGATGAAATATACTGACCTACTAGAGCCGAATTCAACCCTCAAGATTTTACTTGCAATTATGAGAATTGTGTGAGTGAAGCATGAACAGCTATTCCAAAGTAATCTGATTTTTTTTTGGTCCCATGACAAAATTAATCTGCTCATTTTGGCCCATTATTTTAAATTTTATAAACAAGTTTGTTCCATGAAATGAATATGCAAATGAAATTTATGAAAATAAAAAAGATGAGGGATTAAGATTATATTCCAAAGGAAATAACAGGTCCTCTTTGATCACTTGCAGTTAAAAATAAAGCTGAGTGTCCACTTCAAATGTAAGGTGAAGTCCTTCACCTGAAATTCCATTATATACAATGTGTATATAATTACTTAGATCTTGAACTGCACTATAAGCTAATACATTGCTTTAGCGAATAACTAACGTCATTTCACAGATGGCACTGGGATTTGGTTACTTCTTTACACTCTAGGGTACATATGCTAGGACAATTATATACCATCTCTATAAGAAATAGACTCTAAGAACATTGTCAAGCACTTCATTTTTAGGGTATACCTTTAATTTAAAATACAAATTTTTTTTTAAAAATTCCAGCTAAAAACTGCAGCATGATTTAAAAATAAAGATATTAGCTCAGTACGCTTTTTAAATATGATCTCTAATCCACATTAAAAGAGCAAATATAAAACACTCCAACATGCTTTGCAAAATACATGTTTCAGTTCACTATGGCATTAACAATGATGATATCACAGCAGGCCCAACTTACATTACAGGGAGGGTCGTAACCGGTCAGCTAATGCTATTGTGACTACGCTCCAGACCACTCGTTGGTGTTGGGGCTCCCTTCTCTGTCTGAGAAAAGCAACAGCTTCACAGCGATACGCTTACTTCCAAACGCTACTCTCTTAACAACACTTGCATATTGAAGGGGGGGGGGGGGGGGTAGTGGGTAGAGCAGCTGCCCAGCAACGTGCTCTGAGTTAAAACCCCAGTACCACCACCTCAATAAATAAATATGAACAGAGAGAGAGAGACGGATCTCCCTTTGGTATATGAAGGGGATCTACATCACTGAGCAACCAAACCTCAACCCGCTTTTCCCCATGGGATAATACAACCCAAATGTTTCTCTGATTTGAAAGCCGAATTTGAATACACCAACGTGTGACTAATCACAGGTATCAACGTCTACCTCAAAAGAGCTGAAGCCCATTTACCAAAGCTCTTTGGTTATTATTTTATTTTAGCAACTATGAATAGGGACAACTAGCAAGAGTCCATCTTCCATCTCCGGCTTTCTCGAAAGGTCTACAGAACCTGCTACACTGTTCTCTCTCAGCGCTGTGGGAAGCTCCTTAAACACGGAAGTAACAGCAGTACAAGTGGACAGATCTAGTCTGTGGCGAGTAAGGACCCTCTCAAATCATGAATTATTGAATAGGTTCTAGAGTTTTCTCTGTAAGCAAAATCATTTCATTTTCCACTTTAATTAAAAAAAAATGCAACATGATCCACGAACTGATTCTAACAAACCAACTTTTAAAACATACTTTATACACACATGTAGACTAGACTTCTAACTGATCAGTTACCATGACTGGACAACCTATCAAGAAAACATGTGAAATTTTCAGGCACATTTTTAAATGGGTGCATTTAAAATCATTTATCTTAACTTGGTACACATATCAAAGGGCCACTAAGCATCTAGAAGAAGCCATCTGACTTACTGGTAAGGTCGAATACCTACCTTCTTTCTCATTGTAGATGATATTTTTACACAATAGATCATTGTGACACAGAACAACCGGCGAGCCCAGGTTAGAAAGAATGTTCTTCAACCACGTCATCTCTTCCTGGAGAAGCTGGGAGCTTGGAATATCACTTAGGAACCTTTCATTTCAAAAGAAGAGGTAGGCCTTGTTTATCTTAGTGGCATTTTTTTTAATGTTAAGAATTCAAATCTACTCTGAGTAAATTCTGTCCATCTACAAATAAACAACAGAACAATATGTCCCAAGAGCTGAAAAATAAAGAAACTTTTAGGATACAACTTATACACGAAGAAAGGAAAACTAAGCAATGGTTAAGTCTTTGGGTAGAAAAGGGGGGAAAAAAATCTAAGAATTAACCTAACATTAAAAAACTGGAGGAAATGGGGCTGGGCAGGTGGCTCAGGGGTAGAGCGCTTGCCTCGCATGCATCAAGCCCTGGGTTCAATTCCTCAGCACACCACATACACAGAAAAAGCCGGAAGTGGTGCTGTGGCTTAAGTGGTAGAGCGCTAGCTTTGAGCAAAAGCAGCTTCAGAGACCACACCCAGGCCCTGAGTTCTATCCCCAGGACTGGACAAAAAGAAAAACACAAGTCACAGCAGAGTGAGCTAAGTCCATGTTTTCGGTATTAGTATTCTGTCCCAATAAAGCTTTTGTCAGCTTTGAACCATTTTTTTTTTAAAGGCTCTCCTTGGTCAGCTCCTAACAATGTGTCCTTGTGTTCCAACTGTTTTCAAACAAATGCTCTGCGTTCCTATCTCTATCTGACGGGGGGTGGGGGGGCCCCGAAGCCTGGGAGAGTCCACACAGGCTGGTCTCCTACCCCGGCGCAGAGATAAGGCAGGCGTGGTGCTCGGAGTCAGCATTGCAGCTCATCTGTCCAGGACAAGCCCCTTCCCCAAAACACAAAATGCAAAAACCAAGTCGTACCTTTGATTAAGCTCTTCGTCGGCGAATCCTGTAGGAATGAGAGAGAAGTATTTCCCCATCTTCAGCCACAGGTTGGACTTGGGGACCCAGCCGTTGTGTGCGTGGATGGCATGGATTTTGGCGAGCTGACGAGCTATGAGCCTGCATCAAACAGCATTAGAAAGAAGATGGGGCGCAGGGTGAGGGTTCACGCTGTGGAGGAGATTCGTCAGCAGCCCCGCTGTCTGCTAGGCATTTCTGTGCCTTTTCTTGTAGAAATCCAGGGAACACACCTAAAGCCAAACAGCCTCCTCCCCACACAGGGGGGCTGGCGTCTCCCCTCCGTGATCAGGGTGCAGGCCGGATGGCCGCAAGAGGACGGGCTGACCTGTTCCACCACGATCGCCTGACAGCTCCTGCCCAGCACAGCCGCGGAGACCCACTGTCCCAGCCCAGCCTCCTAAGCCGCCCTTATCAGGCCAAGTTCTTCTATGAACAGTTATGAACAGGCCCCACGCCGGTGGCTCCCGCCTCTCATCCCACTACTCAGGAGGCTGAGACCTGAGGATCCCAGTTCAAAGCCAGCCTGGGCAGGAAAGTCTGATCTCCAATGGACCCCGAGCAAACTGGAAGTGGAGCTGTGGTTCAAGTGGTAGAGCGCTTGCCTTGAGCTGAAGAGCTCAGGGACAGCACCCAGGCCCTGAGTTCAGGCCCCACAACTGACTCTCCCACACAGAGTTATGAATGGAATTTATCCCTGGGCCCCGGCTCTCTCTCTAGTTGTGAATGGGGCTCATCACAGGACTTTCTGTGAACCCCGCCCCGCTTCTGAGCAGACGACAAAGGCTCCGTGTGGAGTTGCACCCCTGAACTGAAGCACTTTGGGGACAGCCTGGACTCCTGATTCTAAGTGTGTGCCCTGAAACGCTGTGAACTCAGGGCCTAGGCGCTGCCCCTGAGCTGCTTTGGCTCAAGGCTGACGCTCTACCCCATGAGCCACTGCACCACTTTCTGCTTCTGTGGTGCTGAGGAATCGAACCCAGGGCCTCATGCATGCAAGGTGAGCACTCTTCCACTGAGCACCTGCCCAGCCCCTATTTTGGATCTGTGAAACTCTCAGAAATTGACCTTAGATCTGTGTAAGAAAAATCGTGCTTTCTGTATAGGGAAATTTGTGTTGTCCTATACAAAAACATACTGCCTGGATTTTGGTTTGTTTTTTTTTATGTTAGAAGTAGGGCTTGAACTCAGGGCTTTACAGTCTGGCTTAGTTTTGCTCTCAGCCTTGTTGGTTCTCTATGCGTGGGCTATAGCTCCACTGTGGGCTTTTTGAGGGTTAAATGGAGATAAGGGTTCACTGACTGTTTTTGCCCCGGCCAGCTCTGAACCATAATCCTCAGATCTCAGCCTCCTAAGGATCTAGGATTATAAGGTGTGAACCATAAGCACACAGCTAGCTGCCCATGTGGGGGGGTTTTGGTTTGTTTTTTGCCAGTCCTGGGACTTGAAATCAGGGCCTGGTTAAATTTCTTTTGCTCAAGGCTAGCACTCTACCACTTGGGCCACAGAGCCACTTTCTGTGTAGGTGGTACTGAGGAATCGAACCCAGGGCTTCATGCATGCCAGGCAAGCACTCTACCACTAAGCCACCTTCCCAGGCATACATAGCTGTCCAGTTTTTAAATAAGAAAGTCACATCTGTTATAAACTGCTTTTCAGAGGCTACAAATTTTGAGGCCAATTTCAACAGGCCTCAAAACCACTGCTCTTCTGTTGTAGGCAGCAGAGCTATTTTGGTCCTTTTTGGTTACTATGACAAAAGGTTCAAGGGTTCAAATCCTTGAGCTCAATCCTCAGTGCCATAAAACAAATGTGTACTATATATAAACCTGCACATAGACAGAAATAGTTCCATTTATACATCTACATAAATCACAGCATCTATGTATTTAAAAAGCAGCCACACTAGTTTAAACATTAAATATGACCTACGTTTTTTTATAAACAGATTAAACAAACCATAAAAATTCTAAGAAAAGGCTTTTATAAGAAAATTAGTATCTTGTATTAAAAAAAGCAGCTTCAGTAAACTTGCAAAATAAAGTCAACTCAACATGCAAAAGTTATGTGCTTTTTCTAACAATACACAACCCTAAAAAGACCACAGCATGAAAAAGAATGGAATCCTTAGGAATCAACTTAACCAATGAAATTGAAAACAAAACATAGCTGGGCACTGGTGGCTCACGCCTGTCATCCCAGCTACTCAGGAGGCTGAGATCTGAGGATCGTGGTTCAAACCCAAACTGGGTAGGAAAATCCATGAAACTCTGATCTCCAATGAACCACCAGAAAACTAGAAGTGGTGCTGTGGTTCAAGTGGTAGAGCGCTCACCTTGAGCTGAAGAGCTGAGGGACAGCGCCCAGGCCCAGAGTTCAGGCCCCATGACCAACAACAACAACAAAAAAAAAGACTTAAAACACCTAAACCTAAGGGCTAGGGCCAGGTTTGGTAGGACACGCCTGTAATTCCAGCACACAGAAACTGATGCAGGAGAATAGCAAATTAGAGACCAGCCTGTTCTGTTTCTCAAAATGAACAGAGCCAGAGCACTGGCGGCTCAGACCTATAATCCTGACTACCCAGGAGGCTGAGATCTGAGGATCGTGGTTTGAAGCCAGCCCAGACACGAAAGTCTGTGAAACAATAAACCACCAAAAAAAAAAGGAGCCGTGGCTCAAGTGGTAAAGTGCCAGCCTGAGCAAAAGAGCTAAGGGACAGCGCCAGGTTCTGATTTCAAGCCCCAGTAACCAGCATCAAAAAAAAGAAAAACATAACAAAAAAAGAGCAAAAATTACAAGAACTCTCAGAAAACACAGAGCAAGAAGCTTCCCAGCCCTGTGTAACTGCAGCGATGCCTCAGATGACTCCATTTACCTTCACAGGCGTCTAGATAAAATGGACTACGTCACATCTTAAAGCTGTGCCCAAAAGAACACAACCTGCAGAGTGAAAAGCCAGCCACAGGAGCGAAGAGATCTGCGAGTCACTACCAGTCGCCAGGATTCAGCAGAGCCACCACGGCGCCTGCAATGCTCCCGAGCAGGGCTAGGTGGCAGCAGAGAGCCACGAGTCAGGCGGGCCACACCAGTGCTACTGCAGCAGTTCTGTAGTGTTTTAAGCCATGTTATTGGGTAGGGCAGGTGTATCACATGCATCTCTAAACTCGTGGTTTTCTCAAGCTTCAGGCTGAGTTTATAACCCGATCCTAAGTGTGGCAGCACGTGCCTTTGACCACGGGCTGAGAATAAGAATGAACTCTTGAATAAAAAGAACAATTCAATTAGAACTAAAATAAGGTGTTTCTCCAAAGATAATCATAAGGCTCAAAATACATGTTCCGCATTGCTCATCATTCTTAGGGAAATGCAAATCCACCCAAGAAAGTGCTTGCAGCCATCAGGACACTGTATCTAGTAAGAAAACTTTCGGCCAAGCTGGGCGCCAGTGGCTCACGCCTGTCGTCCTGGCCACTCAGGAGGCGGAGATCCGAGGATCACGGTTCAAAACCAGATGGGGCAGCAAAGTCCTGCAGACTCTTAACTCCCAATGCAGCAGCAAAAAAAAGTCAGAAGTAGAGCTGTGGCTCACGTGGTAGAGTACCAGCCTTGAGCAAAAGAAGCTCAGGGATAGTACCCAGGTCTTGGGTTCAAGTCCCAGTACTAATAGCAAAAAAGAAAAACTTACAAATAGAATTATCATATGATCCAATAGTTTTACTTCTGGGTCAAGAATGAAAGAGCTGAGGTCAGACCTCCAGGGGAGTCTGCTTACCCAGGTTCATAGCGAAATTATTCCAAAGGCTGAAGACATGCCAGCAACCCAGTTATCCATGATGAATACCCAAAATGCAGTACGGTAAGAGGAATATGACACAGCCCTGAAGAGGAAGGAGGCTGCAAGGACTCACACTTGCAATCCCTGCACTCCGGAGTCTGAAGCAGAAAGATCAACAGATTCTAGGCTTGCCCCAGCTACACAGGGAGCCTCTTAAAACAAAAAAAAACAAAATGTCAGAGGGTGGAAGGGAAGAGGATTTCCAGGCTGGGTGTATAGCATGCACAAGACCCCGGAGATGAGCACCAGCACCAACAAAGAAAAAGTACACCAAGGGAAAGAAAGGAAAGGAAGAGAACGGGCCCTGTGACACATGCTACCACGAGGACATCACACCATGAACGGTGGGCAGCGCCGCTCACACAAAGCAGCTAGCAGAGGCAAAACTCACAGAAGGAGACAGGGTGGCGGGCAGGGGCGAGGGGAAAGCGGAAGAGGGAGTTATGTCATGAAGGAGAGATGTGCTCTGATGCCCGACGAGGAGAGTTCTGGGCATCAGGGAGCTAGCCACGAGAATGTATTTAACATGCCTGGGCTGTTCGCTTTGCAAACAATGGCGAGGATGCTCCTTTTTTTATGTTTTGTATAATTACTGTGACTAGAAATAAAATGTGTTAAATGCTTATAAGAAGAAAACAGTCTTTTGGAAACCCCAAGAGCACACTAGCTATTTTCAATTAGTAAACTTTACACGTAGCTAAAAAAACAAATCTGTATTTTGTATTTCTTAAAGAGCATTTCTCAGGCTGGGCAGGTGGCTCCGTGGTAGAGCGCTCGCCTCTCATGCATGAGGCCCTGGGTTCGATTCCTCAGCACCCCAGAAGCAGAAAAAGCCGGAAGTGGCGCGGTGGTTCAAGTGGTAGAGTGCTAGCCTTGAGCTGAAGAGCTGAGGGACAGCGCCCAGGCCCAGAGTTCAAGCCCCATGATAAGACAAAACATAAACAGGAATATAAAAATAAAAATAAAAAATGGCCTGCCTACTAATTAGGAGAATGTAAGCACATGCCTTCTCCCACCTCGAGGTACTGGGCTTTAGCCAAGGCTATGCAACAAAATCAAACAAGAATGCGCTGACTGAGCAGATTATTTCCGTGTGTATCAACTGCCCATGAAGAAAATTTAAGTCTGTGAGGAACTCCCAGGAGAAGGGATTCCGGGTGCAGGGTGTAGCAGGGGTGAAGTTCACACGCACAGCTCCACTCTCTGGCCATGGGTGGCATGAGAGGCCAATCACCCCTGCAGGCAGTAACAAGTCAGCCACACTGACAGCCTTTTGCTGTCATCCTCATCTTTGAGTAAAAAGCAGGTGTAAACCTAACACCATCAACACAGGAGGGGCCTACCACACCTTCCCGAGGAAACAGGCAAGCCAATCAATGTAGAGGATGGACAGGCAAGCCAATCAGTGGAGAGGATGGACAGGTTAGCCAGTCAGTGGAGAGGATGGACAGGTTAGCCAGTCAGTGGAGAGGATGGACAGGTTAGCCAGTCAGTGGAGAGGATGGACAGATAAGTCAATCAATGTAGAGAACAGACGGGCAAGCCAATCAGTGGAGAGGATGGACAGGTTAGCCAGTCAGTAGAGAGGATGGACAGGTTAGCCAGTCAGTGGAGAGGATGGACAGATAAGCCAATCAATGTAGAGAACAGACGGGCAAGCCAATCAGTGGAGAGGACGGACAGGTAAGCCAATCAATGTAGAGGATGGACAGGCAAGCCAATCAGTGGAGAGGACGGACAGGTTAGCCAGTCAGTGGAGAGAACAGACGGGCAAGCCAATCAGTGGAGAGGACAGACAGGCAAGCCAATCAGTGGAGAGGACAGACAGGTTAGCCAGTCAGTGGAGAGGACGGACAGGCAAGCCAATCAGTGGGGAGGATGGACAGGCAAGCCAATCAGTGGAGAGGATGGACAGGTTAGCCAGTCAGTGGAGAGGACGGACAGGCAAGCCAATCAGTGGAGAGGACAGACAGGCAAGCCAATTAGTGGAGAGGATGGACAGGTAAGCCAATCAGTGGAGAGGATGGACAGGCAAGCCAATCAGTGGAGAGGATGGACAGGTAAGCCAATCAGTGGAGAGGATGGACAGGTAAGCCAATCAATGAAGAGAACAGATTGGCAAGCCAATCAGTGGAGAGGCTGGACAGGTTAGCCAATCAGCGGAGAGGATGCACACTCCGAGACGACTTCTTGCCATCAGGAGAGGATGCTCGTATCTACAGATGCAAAGCAACCCAAGTGCCAGGCCCAGCCTGCGAGGAGAGCCACACAACACAGTGATACTCAAGTGACGTGCACACACACACACACACACACACACCACAGACCACAGCAGCAGAGAAGAATGAGACAGAGGACAGCCGCTGCCCAAACTCCAGGTCTGGAATACACGACACAGTGGTGTGTGCAAAGGAGAGGTGGGCGGAGGAATCAGATGGGGTAGTAGAAACAGCCCATACAAACACGTAGTAATTTCTGACAAAGTAGCACAGGAGGACTCCTGGAGAAAGGCAGACTTTCCACAAGTGCTGGGGAAATGAACAGCAGATATTCACATGCGAGAAATGAATGAGGCCCTCTCTTGTATTTAAAAACGAAGAATAAAAAGCACCACGCTGGGCAGAGCCTGCGGCAGACACCTGTCCCGGCTCTGCAGAAGGTACAGGTAAGAGGCCCAGCTCCAAGACCAGACTGGACCACAGCAAGAGACCCTTTCTGAAGCGGGCTGGGCTGTGGCTCAGGTGGTAGAACACCTACCCGCCCAGCACGACCAAGGTCTTGAATGCAAAACTCAGTCCCACAAGAAGAAAAACCAAAATGCAATCCCTAAAGTAACCCTAGAAGTAAGTACTAGCGTAGCTCCCTCTTCCAGATGAGAACGGAAGTCGGACCTGAGAGACGAGGCGCTGTGTCTGAGCTTTTCCTCTGAAGGCTGGTGCTCTGCCACTTGAACCACACCTCCACTTTGGATTTTTTGGTGGTCCATTGGAGATAAAGAGTCTTATAGGCTTTCCTGCTCAGCCACAATCCTCAGATCTCAGCCTCCTGAGTAGCCAGGATGACAGGCGTGAGCCACTGGCACCTGTCTTAATTCGCCCATGTTTTAAAGATGCCCCACGGATCCTTCCAGGAGATTAAAAACTAATCTTCTTCCTAAGTCATACGTACTATTCCCTCTGCTCTCTCGCCCAGAGAGGGCTCGAGGAGGCTCAGCATCTACACAGCCCATCCTGCTGACAGCTTGCAGGATGGATGCCCACTTGCTATGTCTTCTCCAACATTGGTTTTAACTTCGAATATGGTAAATAGCGGCCACATATATAAACCAGATATTAAAATGGACGCTCAGTGACTTTTCAGAAGTGGAAGGGAATGTCTGGGAACCCTGGACCTGCTGTTTCCAAATCAATCTCATTTGCTAGGGTTTCCAAGATCAGAAAGTGCATTTTCTTTTTTTTGTTTTTGTTTTTGTCAGTCATGGGACTTGAACTCAGGGCCTGGACACTGTCCCTCAGCTCTTTAGCTCAAGGCTAACGCTCTACCACTTGAGCCACAGCGCCACTTTGGGTTTTCTGGTGGTTCACTGGAGGTAAGTCTCATGGACTTTCCTGTCTGTGCTGGCTTTGAACCATGTGCTGGCTTTGAACCGTGATCCTCAGATCTCAGCCTCCTGAGTAGCTGGGATGACAGGTGTGAGCCACCATCTCCCAGCCAGAAAGCACATTTTCAAAGTTGAGATTCAGAGAAAAATCATCAAGCACATTTAAGACAATCTTCACAGAAAATGACACTGACATAAGCAACTTAAAGAACAGGCCACGTGACAAAGGATTACTTAACACCTGTGAAAGGGCTGGGCAGGTGGCTCAGGGGGAGAGCGCTCCCCTCGCATGCACGAAGCCCTGGGTTCCATTCCTCAGCACCACAGACACAGAAAAAGCCACAAGTGGTAGAGCGCCAGCCTTGAACACAGAGAGGCTCTAGGGCAGAGCCCAGGCCTTGAGTTCAAGCCCCAGGACTGGCAAAAAACAAACAGAGGTGGAGCTGTGGCCCAGCGGCTCCGGGGCAGCGCCAGGCCCCGGGTTCGGTGGCGGCCCCCGCAGACGCACCTGAAGATGGCGGGGCGGCGGACGTGGCGCGGGCCCAGGGCCTCGCCCTGGATGAACTCGTAGCAGAGTCCGTTGTTGAAGGTGCAGTAGAGCCGCGGCGCGCAGCCGTGCGCCTGCAGCACGCGGAAGCTCTTCACCTCCTCCTCGCGGTCCACCAGCAGCTCCGTCTTGTTACCGTAGATCCTCACCAGGACCACGTCCTCCATGGCGTCCCCCACGTAGCAGGCGATGAGCTTGTTCGTGATCCCATCGGTGAACAGCTGCGGGGGAGAGCGCGGGGCGGCGGTGAGGGCGGCGGC